ATATGGCTGGGAAATGGCACCGTTAAAACTAACTAAATCCAGGCTTCGATTCCTATTTCCTTCCCTCCAGGCCTTTGCTATGCCCGAAAGTGACTGAGAGAAGGATATTTTATAAGGAAACAGAGACAAGGGCTATGGAACCTGGAGTGGGAAGGCTGTTGAGTGGCAGGTTTTCTTCTACTCAGAGTTCAGATGAGAGTTTGAATCATGCATGTGTGTGGTACATCAGGAGGAGCATCTTGACTCTAAAATTCTGGGGTGTGTTTCTATAAGGAGCCTGAGGACGCACCTCCACTGGAGAACAAACACTCTCTGTGCCAGTAACTGAGAGAGTCTTACATAAGAGAGGATTCTTATCCGGCAGGGAGAGCTTGGAGGGCTGCGGGGCTGTCAGTGGAAGCTGTGTGCGAGCGAGGGCCTGAGGCTCCCTGCCTCAGACACTGAGTCACCTGCGGGGATGGGTTCCTTCCAGCTCATCCGTTATGGGTCTGAATGTCTGCTCTTGTTCAGAATGAGTTTCTTAAGCATTTCCACCAAGTGGCTGGAGTGACTCTGAAGGTCCAGGGTATGTGTATATGAGTGTGTGTGTGTATGAATGTGTGTGTGTATGTCCCATTGCAAATAAGAAATTTCTTTGACGTCTCATACTTCATTGTAAAAATTATCACAAATCTGAATTTTATTCCATAATATCCAATAATACGATACTTATGTTTATTTAAATTAAAAAAAACATATTCTGGAGTTGCTGGTACGATAAAACTGGTGTTTGTCCTGTGGCATCGTGCATTGTCCCTGGGGCTCTCAGTACTCGAGTGTGAGAAGCCGTGGGCTGCACCCTCTTGAGGTTTCTAATTCTGATGTTCTTACCTCAAGCGCTTCTTTGGTTCCTGTGTAGCGGTGTGACATAGATTCTCCACGTCCCCCTGATCTCGTGGCTCAATGGGGCCACTGGGTCAAGTGTAAAGGAAAAGTGTGGATGTCACTGCAGTCGTGGGCACTCAATTTATCCTTTCCTGATAAGTTGTGCAGAACGCTTCCTACGCACATTAGAGCATTTCCAGGGAGAGGAGAACAGTTAACATTTATTAAGCACTTACTATACACTAAGAGCTTTGTAGGGTTTTAATCTAATTATACTCTTATAATAACTCTGTGAGGTAGGTTCTATTATTAGTCCCACTGTATAGAAGAAGAATAGGAGATATAGAATAACTTCCCCGAGTTCACACAGGGAATGGGGTTGAGATTCACACTCAGGCAGCCTTGTTCCAGGGCCACCAAGTGGTACTGCTCCTCTGGGGAATGTGTCCTATTGACCTTGAGAGCTCGGAGAACTCTCCAAGCACATTACAGCCCTTTATTTCTTCTAGTGGGTGTGTGAGTCAGCTGTGCCGTGGAGCTTGATGTGAGGTCAGAAGTCACAGCAGCATCCATCTGCCACCCCACTCTTCCTGATTCGGGGGCAGCGATAAAGTGGGAGGGGTAAAGTGAGAGAGGCGGGGCCACCTCAGCCAGCCCAGGGCTGATAAGGAAGAATGGCTTCTCGGGCTCTTGGCAGCAGAGGTGGGTTCAAGGAGGGCAGGTTTGCAGGCAGCCGGGTAGGTGGCGTTTCAAGAAGCCTTTTTGTCCGGGCTCATACACAGGATTCCTCAGGCCTGTAGGAAACCTGAATTGTGCCCAAGCCTTCACTCCTGAGGTTGTGCTAGGAGTGACAGCCCCAGGACTGGCACTGGTAGCTTATGGTGCCCGTGCCAGGCTAATTGTCTCTGGCCCTCAGACCATGTTTTCCTGGCACATGTCCTTCCTGATAATTGGACTGCTGAGTGGCACACACTGCTGTGCATGTTGTCTGACACCCAGCTCCCCTGAAGGAAGGGGTCACAGCCTTGGAGGCCAATGACTGGCCGGAGCCCCGAGCTCCGCCTCCGAGGCTGGTCCAGGTGGCTTGCTGGGGTCAAGAGGCTGCTCTGCACTAAACCTTTACCCCTTGATTCATCCTTGGAGTCAGAGATATGAGCCACTTGCTGACTAAAAAGAGCCTCAGTGTGTCAGCTGCTGTTGGAAATGCAGTGTGGACATTATCCAGTCATTCCCATTTTAGCTAAGATTTTTTTTTTATTTAATATTTTTCTTTCACTGTCCGATGGAGGGTGTCTTTTAGATGTATGTAGTTTAACAAGGTATGCAGGACATTAATTCTGATTTTGTCTCATTTATGCCCCATAGGGCATCACTTTGGTGAATCCCTGCTCAGTCCCCATAACTCACTGCTTCAGCATTCTCTTTTACTTTTTCCAGAAATTTCCTATCAAAGTTTCACTCTATATTCAGGATGTGAGAACTGCTGGAATATAGTTATACAATTAGGTTGTCGCTGCTAAACATTTAAGGTGTTTATTCACTCACAAATAAAATCTTTATTGGGTTCTGGTCATATGTCAGGCACTGTGCCAGGTGCTTTGGGTATAGCATGGAATGAAGCTCAGATGTTCAAATCCCCATGAGTTTCAAGTCCATCTAACTGGTAGCCCACTTGTTACCTTGAGGACATGTTCCTAGGGAAAGCCCACTCCACTAGCCCACCCAAACCTTCCTAACGTTTCTCCAGCCTCTTACCAAATGCTCACCCTGGTCTGGTGAGCAGAGATTAGCAGCGTTATTAACAGAGAGGACACTTTTGTTAGACAGATGTCAAACCAGGGTAGTTGCTCCTATTTGAAGCAAGATCCTCATTGGTGGTCTGGCATTTGGAAAGGATGCAGGGACCCAGAAAGGAAGTTCACATACATTAGCAAGTGACCAGGGCTCCAATTCTGGCTCATGATTGAAATGCAGAGCAGGAATCAGGCAGGAGGATGGGTCGCTTGGGGAAGGGAGAATGTGAAGACACTGTCGCTGTTCCAGCACGAGGGAGCCTGTGGGATCACTCAAGGGCACCGCAAGCAGGGTGTGGGTGGCAAGACTAATTTTAGCCCACCTCCTGGGGGGGACGAACTGCTAATGTATTTGTCAAGCTGGGTAAATTTGGTTAGAAACCAGGAGGGATTGAACTGCAGGGTTGAGAGGTTTAGTAACTAGATATGTGGGCTGGGCAAGACAGAGACCGATAAATCCCAAAGCTTTTGGGCTGGTGCGATCCCACCACGACCTATTTCGTCCCATGACCCATATAACTGTTGTATGCCGTATGTCTATTCCATAATTAAAGCTAATTAAAACTGATTTGGTTAGTGAGTGTTTGAGGAATTTCATAATAACTCTTGAGATAACTAGAGATGCTTTGGGATGTCACAAAAAGAGCATTTGGAATAACTGAGCTAGATTTGGAATAACTAAAGCAGAGATGTGCAACGAAGGCTGGCAGTGGAATGGCAATTCGGGAGTTTGAGTTTGAAAGTATGCTGAGTCAGGAACCTAGGAGTTTGGGATTGTAATCTGTATGCTGGTAAACCGCTCTCTGGACACAGCCACCACCACCTTGCTTTACAGCGTTTGACAGTTGCTATGTAAATACTCCCACCACGGTGGATGCCCAGTTACCACCGGCTTCTTTACTGGCTCACACGATTCCTGCATAAGTCGTGTAAGGCCAGGGCAAGGTGACTCCCTCACACCAGCATAACCCTGACTGAGCTTCTGGTCAGCTTGGTGGTGGTTTTGGGTAAATCACTTCACTTCTCTGGATCTTAGTTTTATCATCAATAAAGTGAAGTTGCAGAGTTAGCCCCCCAGTAATGTCGTCGGTGTTTTGGGGGCAGGACTAATATCCTATTATAAGCCAAAAGAGTCATAGCAGGTTTTCATGAACCTTATTGTGATATCGCAGAACACATAATTGTATATCTGAGTCCGTGTCATAATTAACCATGTTCTGCTTCCTGCCGTCGCCGTGTGTCCTTCTCCAACACCTCTTCCCAGGAGGATTAAAAATGTCAGTGCGCCCAGCAATGAGCCAAACTTCAGGGCAGAATTCTCTGACCCCAGTGGTGTAAGAAACCATGTCCATGGTCGGTCAGAGAAGTCTACATTCTATGGTCAGGCTCTAGGAGTCAGCTGAAGGGATGAGACAACTATATCCTCTATATCCTCATAGTGACCTCTAGTTCAGGTACAGTAGTGTGTCTGATCACGGGACCCACATGTAGTCTTCCCTGGACTAGCAGCAACATGGGGGGTTATTTTGCTCCAAACTTTTTGAAGGCAAGGACTCTGTCCTTCATATTTTCATGTGTCAAATCCTGGTATCTTATAGAGACTAAGTAAGTGTTTGTTGAGAGAAAGAATAAATTTTTTTGGCAAATGCTGACTTTTATTCCCTCCCCCAATTTATTGAGCTATAATTGACATATAATGTTGTGTAAGTTTAAGGTATATGACATGACTTTCTGCATTTTAAAATATTAATTCAAAAGGAGACATGAGCTTCCTGTGATTATCTTAATAATGCTGAAAAATGTATTTTGTAAATGCAAGAAATTATTTTCTTACTGCAATAGAAAACTTTTCAGTGTCTTCAGTTCAACATTGGGCATTTAGATTTACCTTCCTTTAGATAACACACTTGATACACAAACAGAACCCGGTGGAGAGAAACATGAATGAGAAAAACCCCAACCAGAGAGACCAGGTATTTACAACCCGCCAATGAGTACCCTTTTGAAAAGGAAAAAATAATACTGATATATAGAGCATATTTATTTATACGTGTGCCATTTTACCAGCACTTACACCTCATTGTGACTGACCCTCATAAGCTATTGTTATTCCCCTTTTACAGAAGATGAAACTGAGACTCAGAGAGGTTCGGTCATGGAGCCAGCCAGTGGCAGAGCCCCAAGGCGGTGATCTTCTGGCCAGGCCAGGCTGCCTGCGGGCTTTCTGGGTTTCCTCTCCCCAGCGCCTCTGTTCCTTGTTTGCTGTGGGGTTTGGATGCTTTCACATGTGAGTGAACCTGGCTCAGCCCACGACCAGGCAAACAGAAGTGCCAGCCTCCGACAGGGCTCTGAGCAAATACGCCAGGTCAGGCCTGTCCCACATGCGGTGGCTGGGCTGTACTTTGCCCCAGTGAATCAGCTCCATGGAGGCCCGGCAGTGGCAAAGGTAACTGACTGGCCGTAGATTGGAGGGCCAGGTGAGTCTTGGTAGATGTGGCACCTGGACTTTGGCAGTCTCCACGAGGAGCGGAGACATCCTTGGGCCAGGTTCCCGGAGCCGCGCTGAAGGAAGGTGCCAAGGCGTCAGAGCAGGTGTGTGGGGACCTAGCTCCCTTGTGTCCTCTCTCTTACCTGTGCTTGCTGGGCTGTCAGATTAGCAGAGGCAACATTGTCCTCACTGGGGCCAGGGAGGGTCATGGAGGTGAGCTCCCAAGTGTGACTTGTCACTGTGGATGGAACGAACGTCTTCATTCTGAGAATCTTAATTGCCTTTGGGTTGCTGCGCTTAATTATAACCTGAGGTCTAACTTACTGGAGTTGATCTCTCTTGGCAACAAAAGGACGGGATTTTGGCGAAGAGATTGGGTGTTGTGCCTTTGCGGTCAGGGAAGGCTGCCCTGTGAAGTGTCTGGGGACAGGGTGACAGACTTTCTTACATGTGTCCAAATGGTACTGAGTGCCTCGGGCCTTCAGGAAAGACCCACACACGCTTTCACTGTGTCTGGAGCATTTGGCCTCTGCTGGAATTTGCTGGGAAAAGCCTGCATTCTTTTCAGGAAAGTGGGCTACCCTGGGCAAAAGGGTGCTCGTTTCCCCGAGCGGGGGTTGATCTCAGGGTGGAAGGCACTCCTGCGCCTGGCTCTTCTGGGCTGGTCTGTTTACAGCCCTCGGCTCATCGCGGTGGACCCTGGCTCCGTGGCATTTGAGCAGTGACATGTTGATTTCCACACATACCCTTTGACCTTTGTTCTGATAAGGATTTTTTTTTAGGCAGGGAGCGTCAGGAGTGGGAGCAAGTGAAATGGCTTCCATCAGAATATTTCCACTGAAAACTGTCCCCAACAGAGAAAAAACAGGGGCTGACCGAGCTAACGAATTCTCCCCACACGAGGGGATCCCTGAGCAGCTGCGAGGTCCGGGGTGAGCTCTCCTTTTGGGGGGCAGCTGGATGGCGGCAGTCCTCTGGGACGTGGGCCGAGGAGCTGGGAAGGCAGTCTGTCCTTGGAGCCTTCTCCCATTTTGAAGAATAAGTGGGGAGAATCAGTTTGATTCTGGGGAGACTTCCAGGTTTGAAAGTCCCCAGCCAGGAGGATCACCACGACATGGCTTTCCAGATGGTCATGGAAGCAATCCCAAACCTTTGTCTTGGTGGGTCCCCTGGAGGAGAGGCAGGCATGGCCTTGTTTGGGGCTGAGTTCTAAAGGTGAGTTTAAAGATTCAGAGAAGATGTCTCTTGAGGTCAATTTCAGCTTCTTTTTGTTTAGGAAATGCCTTCAGCTATTCTCACTACCCCAACCTTTATCTCCAACACTAACTACTATTTATTGAACAATTACCATAGGCCAGATAGTGAACTGGGCATTTCATAAGTTATCTCTAATTCTGACAGTAACCCTGCAAGCTAGTCACTATGATCCCCATTTTATGGATAAGGAAATTGAGGCTTGAACTAATTAACTAGCTAATAAGTGGCAGAGTTAGGATTTGACCTCTGGTCTAGATCTAAGCCTACTCTATTTCCATGATAGCTTAGGATCCCCATAGTAAATGTTGAATAAATATTTACTGGTGGAATAAATGGACATTTATTTAATTGGAATACTTTGATAGGGTTTTGGTGCTTCATTTATTACTGTTCTGTCTCATGCCTCCCACATCTATTATTGCTCCAACTAATTACACTTTTTAATTTTTAAAGCAACCACCATATAGTTGTCTAATCTGTTGTTTATTTCATGTATCTTTTTGAGATTTTCCTCCAGATATTTCTGTATCAGTGGCCATGTGGTTTGTTTTAGATAGAAGATTTTGAGGACCATAAGTGCTTTTTTAAATAAAACTCAATCAACTATCATGTTTGGATATAAACCTAAAGTAATGATAATTTTGGGGTCTTTTTGTTTTGTCTGCAGGAAGATAAAATAACTACACAACTGACTAAAAAAAAGAGAGACATTCAGAAGGTCAGGGATGGAACCCTGGATCCCCCAGCAGCCGCTGCAGCCCTGGGGGAGACCCCCAGCCCCATCCCAGGGTCCAGACCGAGGCCTTCGGAGAGATGGATATCATCGGCCGGTTCCTCACTCTTGGCACAAAGGAGAGAGGTTCCATCAATGGCAAGACATCCGAGGGAGCCCCCAGCCACAGCAGGACCCCAAGGCAGACCGCCAGCAGCCTCATTACGTACCCAGGCCTGGGGAATGGCATCAGCCTGTGGCCGGAGCGGACTATTACGAAGGGGGTTATCACCCTCACTTGTATTCACGGTATGGTTTTAGAGCTTGGAACTGACCCAACCCTCCTGAGTGCTTACGAACAGATTGTTCTTGTCCTTCTTCCTTTTCCTTTTATTTCTCCTCTTTTTTTTTTTTTTCTGTTTCCTCCTCCACCCTACTACATTGATTTCGGCTAAACCCTTTGCTCTCTCAAATTGACTGAAAAGAATAGTTCCCCTTTCTGTATCTCCTGATGGGACTTCTTAAAGAAGCCATCAGGATCTGATTGAGTGTTGGAGGTGGGGGAGAGGATAGGGGGAATGAGAGAATGGTGAAATTAAAGAGAGCAGATGACACCCTCTATTCCAGGATTACAAAAAGGCAATACTGTAAATATATGTAGACGATGGAACAGCCTCTCCTAGGGATCCCTATAAAAAAACTTCCTCATCATCTTTGAACCACTCTGATGCAGGGTTAGTATGACACCACCAGCATCAACAAGAGCCCTAGCACCTAGAACAGTATCTAAAATGTGATAGGCATCCAGAAAAAAAAATGCATTGAATGAATGGATGGGAACTTAAAAGAAAAATCAACCTCAGAGAGAGCAGATGTAAGGTTGCAGGCTCCACGTTTGGAAGGAAGGGGTCTCGGTGAGGTAATTCTAGGTTGGAGAATCTAGAATTCCTACTTCTGGGTTCTAACTGAGAGCACTGGACGCAGTGTTTTATGGAATATTGGAAGCCACCTGTGTCCACTTTGGCTTTTCGAGGTGGGGTGGTATTTATCTGCCTACAGATTCAGGATTGAAATTATGACAAATATTTTAAAGAATGTTGCCCCTATGAAATGCTAAAGAATTATTAATTGATGAAAATAGTAACAACCTGACATTCCTTTCCCCAGTCTTTCTGTATTGTTGAATCCTCAAAGGAAGGTATGTTAAGGACAGAGGCAATCAGATTTAAGGTAGTCCAAGCTGACCTTTTCATCTCATTTCCATGTGTAATATGCATGGGAATTACAATGGCCTATTGGCTATCTCTGGAAGTGGTTTTCTAGGATACTATCAGGGCAGTGCATTCTAAGACAATATCTTGTGTGGTTGGATGTAGGTACTTGAAGAGTAAGAGGGATCATGGGGAAGAAGAATGAGACACTTTGCTATAAGGATCCCAGCTTTGTTCTGAATCAAAGCTCTTACTCCTGCTCTGGGTCTGGATTTTCTGTGTATGGGATCTAGAATTAACTGTGCCTTTGCCGTGGCCGATGTGGCCGAGTGGTTAAGGCGATTGACTGCTAGAATTAACTGTACCTTTTAAGCAGGTACTAGACCAGGGTCACAATTCTGTCCTCTGAAGTTGTTTAGTTTGTCCAGTCTCCCATTGGTTTCTCTCTTTACCGCACTCATCCTTGAAATGACTGGCCTTCACTGTGCTATTTTAGGCCAGGCATTGATGATCCATACCAGAGGTATCACTCTTCTGTAAGGGAAGAATATCCGTATGGAGGTTATTACTACCATGGGCACCCACAGCAGCAACCAGAGGAAAGAGGTATGGAATAACCTCCCAGAAGTCTTTGGGGTGGTGCAGCTGGTCGATAGGCGGGGCAGAGGCCAAGGGAGCCATGCTCAGAGCCTCACCTTGGGCACCTGCTCTACTCGGGTAGAAAGAACTCGCGCCCCTGCCTACCTCTTTCTTGGCCAGATGAGGTCACGGCAAAGACACTTAGGAATTTATACCCTATACAACAGTAAGGCTTTAGGTATATGCTAATGGCTGCTAGCAGAGAGAAATCTGTTTCAACGTTGAACACACACACACACTCACACACACGCACACACTCACACACACGCACACACTCACTCACACACGATCATCACCATTGTGCAGTTGTATAGGGCCGTGCTAATTGGTTCAGGGAGGACTGGGGCATCTCATCATAAGCTCTCACCAATTTTATTCATTTTGGCAAATGTGTTTTGTACCTACTGTGCTCCAGTACCTCAGCTTCACAGCTTGCAAGTGTGTTTTCGGAACTTTCACAAACAGGAAGTGACCTGCTTTATTTATTTTTTTTCTGAGGGTGCAGTGCCAAGGCAAGCGAGTCCTTATATCCGGCATGAAGACTATCGAGATCAAAAGTACCTCAATGAACATCATCGTGAAAACCAGAAGAGTCCATTTGGAACAAACAGTGAGACCCAGTTCCAGTAAGTGTGAAAGGAGAGGCCAGGTCAACATGATTCAGCCAAACTCAAACTCTGTTAGGAAATCTTATATCGTCTGGTGCTGGGCCCTCATCTTGGGCAGCCTGTCGTCTGCTTCTGTTGTGGGGATGTGGGAGTTGTGTTCTCGGGGATGGAGAATGGGACATCCTTTGGGATCAGGCGAGCAGGGGAGGGAACAGCCTTTTGTATTAATACCTGTCCTGGTGCCCTTGGCCTGGCACCTTTACCCTGGAACCCATGAATCTGACTGCTCTGATTTAAGTTATTCCAGATGTCAGGCAGCAGGGACCACCCTTCTCTGCAGGGTTCGGGGCAGCTTCTAGTAACTGCACTGGGGAGCCCAGGAGCCCCCTTTTCCTGGTATTAACAGATTGAGGTGGTGAATGGAAGGACAGTGCTTCTCCCTGCGGCACACAGGCCGACCTGACACCTGGTCGCACTCGGCAACAGAACCACCTCCAGCAGAGAGCAGCTCAGCCTTGCCGGCTTGCCCAGGACCCCTCTCACCTCTCCTGTCATTTTGCTGCAGATCTCAGAGTGGGAACCCTTATAGAGACAGCCCTGCTTCCAACTCTGGACAGGAGTGGCCTGGGGACCTGCTTCCGGAGAGTGTGCTAAGTGGGGCCCAGAAGAATAAGGTAACTTGAAGTGACATGGGGGCTGGTGGCCTGTGACAGTGCCTCCCAACTACATTGTCAGCAGTGGCAGGCAGGGCCTTGGGGGTGGGTTCTCCAGTGGCCAGCAGACTGAGTGGTCCAATTCTTCCCTCCTTGGCAGAGTGTCCACTCATCCCTCCTCTCTTCCCCATTTTCCTGTTTCAATCTGAAGGGCCTGGGACCCTGATCTGGCCCTTTTGCATTTTTGTCAAATTGACTGAATCAGGAAATGTCACACAGCTCACTCTGAGGTGCTGGGAAACAGAGAAGAGGCTGCCAGCACTTTGATTCACCCAGGAAGTGAGAAGTTGCTGGAATCTTTTAATTCAGGGCTGAAAAGCAGAGCTTGGAGCCTGTCTTGACGTTTAATTTAATTTAATTTTTTTTTACAAAGCATTATTTTAAAATATATATTTATTGATTTCACAGAGGAAAGGAGACTGAGAGAGAGATAGAAACGTCAATGATGAGAGAAAAATCATTGACCGGCTGCCTCCTGCATGCCCCACACTGGGGATGGAGCCTGCAACCCGGGCATGTGCCCTGACCAGGAATCGAACCTTGATCTCCTGGTTCATAGGTCAACACTCAACCACTGAGCCATGCCAGCTGGGCTGTCTTGACATTTTAGGAGACTGTCTTTGTCTTCTAAACTCTTACTGTATATATCACCTGGGCCATAAAATGGAGCTCTCAAATTTTTTAAAAATAAACATTTATTTTGGAAAAAATTTAGGTTTATGGAAAAGATGCAAAGGCACTATGGTGACCAGCTTTTAATTTTTGACAGTCTTGTATAGATTTTGTTTCCCTGATTGGATTTGTATGGTTTTTGAGAACAGTTTCTTCTGCATACCTAATGCTCAGTAGGGCAGGGCACATGCTGTCATGAAAGCAGCCACACACAGACACACTTTACCGCGTACAAAGAGCTTTTGCATCCAGGGTTTTATTTGCATCCTCCCAGGAGGTAAGTTCCATGAATTTTTTGTGGGCCTGTATCCCCAGGGAAAGCATGGTGCCTAGAGCATAGCAGGTGCTCATTAAACAGCTGGGGAATGAACGCATGATTAAGTACGTGAACTATGCAGGGCAGCTATGATTATCTATGTTATAGACGGGGATTCCCAGCTCAGAGAGCCCAAGCCACTTGTCACTAGGTCATAGCGGCTTGGTATTGACAAAGCTAGGATTTGATTCCAGGCCTCCTGGCCCCTCCTGGTGTCAATCGAATCATCCACCCCTATCCTTTCAACAATTTCACATTCACTGTATTTTTATTTGAAAGTTTGGAACACCTGGGAAGACCATCTCTCAGAAACTGTTTCTGATTCTTCCCGTGTGTTGTCGTTGTTTTTCACTTCCAGCCACCACTGCCCCACGAGTCCAACCTTCTCCAGCAGCACGAGTCTGGTCTCAGCTCCAGCGGCTATGAGCTCAGTCAGTACATGGCAGATGCCTCCGAGCCTTATGTCCCCACGGCTTCAACAGTTTGGAGACCAGTGCAGGCTGGTGGGTGCTGAAGTGATCAAAGGAGTTGGTTGAGTCTGACGGGAAGAGGGCTGGAGGGCAAGTTTCTTGGAAAGACACCTTACCCTGGTTTCCAAGAATGGAGCATTGTTCGCCTCATTTGCTTACCTAGGTCTCTTGGGCAGAGAGGCCAACTTGGCTCCATTTCCCACCTTTTCTCTTTACTGGACATTGCATCATAGCAGGTTCTTGGAAGGGAACCCTGCCCCTAGCCATCACCGGGCACGCCTTGGTGCTTTTAAGTAGCAGGTGAAGGAGGTGAGGACTGGAGTCAGTTTGGTAAAGCAAGGGCAGGCCACAGAGCATCATCGTTTTGTCTGGACGTGGCTGACTTGTCTAGTCCCGGCCTCTGTCCATTGCCAAGAGTCTGGGCCTTGTGCGTTATTACCATTTGGACCCACCATAGCATCCTTGCAGTATGCGCTGACATATTCCCAGGGGCTTAAATCTGCTTCTTCTTCTGTAGCCCACCCAGAATCTTATCTGGGTCCCCGGTGGAATTTAGACAGAAATGTGTTTGTGGCATCCCGCTAAGTAAAGAAAAGCAGTGGCAGCCATGCTAACAGTGTCCACCTGTGTCTGTTGGTCAGCGGCTGACTCGGCAGCTGATCCCAAGGCACCCATGAAGTTCTACATCCCCCATGTGCCTGCGAGTTTTGGGCCAGGAGGTCAGCTGGTGTGTGTGTGTCCCAGCTCTCCCAGTGACGGGCAAACGGCCCTTGTTGAACTGCACAGCATGGAGGTAAATAAGAGTCTTTGTCCCCAGAAGGCTCCCTGCTTCCCTTTGCCTGAGCCTGGGCATCTCCTGGAACAGGGGGCTCTTGTGGGGAACTGGGCGGGGAGCTTCTCTGGAAGAAGTGATGCTGGACTTACGTTTTCCCTGAGATGCTATTGGCTCAATTTCAGCCACTGGAGAACTCACTTTCTCCACGAGGCATGAGCTGGACTTTGGGACCACAGCTTCGGGTTCTGATACGGGGCATTGGAAGAGCAATGTCTTGAAGAGCAAATCTAATTTTCGTTCCAGGTTATTCTTAATGATTCTGAGGAACAAGAAGAGATGAGAACTTTCTCAGGACCCCTGATCAGGTAAATTACCGTATGAACAGCTGAGAAAAGGCTTTTGAGACCTACATGGTCTTCCTGCCAAGAATAGGATTTGGGGGGGATTTGTTCATGGCTTCTTTGAAAGAAAATGTCGATCCCCACTGGAATAGAATTTTCTGTGCAACCAGACAGAGCCTAATGTGGCCTGAGCCTTTTTGAGAAGCAATTTAGTAGTTGGAGGTGGGGGGAGAAGAACAATTCATGTGAAGGTTTAAAAACCTGAAATCAGTTCCATTTTGCAGAGGTGACATGGGAGGAGGTTTTAGGGTTCCGTGTTCCTAATAGACATTAGTGGGGAAGTGCAGCACCGCCTGGGACCTCACAGACAAGTGGATCATAGTGGGGGAAAAGGCTTGCTTTTTCTGGAGGGGGAACTTGATCTGCATGAATCCCTGGATGGTGTGCAAGTCTGCCCTCTGCAGGATTGAGCCCAAACTGCTTTTAAATGCCCAGTCCTTTCTGATAAATATTCACAGTGCCTTTTGCTGTGGAGTGTCCTGACTGATGTGAGAACATCTGGGGCCCGGCCTTAGGCATCCGACTAACTAGATATACCATGGCAGACAGGTCATTTAGCTCTCTCTGACCTTAGTTTTCCCTTTAAGAAATGATGTAACACTGGCTCTGCCCACTCCAGGCAGTGGCTGTGAGACACAAGTGAGATTAATGCACATGGAAGCCCTTTAAATAGCAACACCATTATATAAATGTATTCTTTTTTTTAAAAAAAAATATATTTTGTTGATTCTTTACATAGAGGAAGGGAGAGAGATAGAGAGTTAGAAACATCGATGGGAGAGAAACATCGATCAGCCGCCTCCTGCACATCCCCTACTGGGGATGTGCCTGCAACCCAGGCACACGCCCTTGACCAGAATCGAACCTGGGACCCTTCAGTCCGCAGGCCGACGCTCTATCCAGTGAGCCAAACTGGTTTCGGCTATAAATGTATTCTTAACCTGGATCTCCCCCTCTAAGAAAATCCCCATCTAGTATTTTGACAGTTCTTTTAAGTAAAACTTAGTGTGTCTATTTCTTACACTCAGGTATACAGATGTGAGTAGAGCACCGAGTTGGGTATTTTGGACACTAGGATACTGGTCCCAACTGGGTGTTGATTTTATTGAATAGTCTTAAGCAAATAATACTGCTTGTTTATTGAGCACTTAATATATGCTACATAGCTTGCTAATTTCTTTTTTGTATGGAGGTAGATTTTTAAAATTATTCTGATCTTAGGGGGAGAAGCTGAGGCTCAGAGGAGATAAGACAGTTTTGTAAGCTGAGATGTGGCAAGCTAGATTTAAGTCCAGGGTTGTCTGACTCCAAAGAGTGCTCTTGCCTGCTACCCAAGTCAGGTATTTCAGGTCTCCGGGCCTCAGTCTCCTCCTCTGTAAAATGGAGAGAGTATATGTGAGAATCTCTGAAGTTTCTTCCTGTTCCACAAAGAAACAACTGTCCTGTAGCTATAGTCTTGTTATCCCTGCCCTGGTCCTGGCGTGTTGGGGCCACCCAGCACCTTCACACTATGGGAGGAGCCCACGGTCCTGCATGGGGAAGAGTCTGCCCGCTCACCCTCCGCTCCCTGAAATCTCTCCATAGGGAAGACGTCCACAAGGTGGACATCATGACGTTTTGCCAGCAGAAAGCAGCTCAGAGCCGCCAATCCGAGACACCAGGGAGCAGAGATGCAGCTCTGCTATGGCAACTGTTGGTTCTCCTTTGTCGACAGAATGGGGTGAGTATTACCACTCTGATGGGTGGGCAGGAACAGGCTGTATTGAAATGTAAGCCTTCCTGGGATAAGTATGATTTTGCTTAAGACATAATAATAAAAGTTAATAGTAAAGAAGCAACCAGATTGCCAGTTGGCCAGCACTGACCTTCACTTTGCCCTTCTCTAGTGGCCTGGGTTGTGGTGAAGGTGTTGGGTTACTGCACCAGCCAGATGACGCTCCTACGAGAGTGTGCACATTTCTGATAACATTTGTGGCACCTGAGTTTGAGACACAGCAATCCAGTGCTGGCCTCCCCAGGACGCAGGGGATTCTTTCTCTCTCATTATGACCCTCTTTGCCTTGCAGTCCATGGTGGGGTCTGACATTGCGGAGCTGCTGATGCAAGACCGCAAGAAGCTGGAGAAGTACAAGAGGCAGCCCCCGGTGGCCAACCTCATCAACCTGACCGATGACAACTGGCCAGTGCCCAGCTCAGGGACCCCAAACCTGCTCACTGGGGAGATTCCCCCGAGTGTGGAGACACCAGCGCAGATCGTGGAGAAGTTCACTAAGCTGCTCTACTACGGAAGGAAGAAGGCAAGTGCGCCCCCGGCAGGCTTGGTTTACAAAAGTAACCACTGCCTGTCCCCACCACTCAGCCCTCCAATTAGATGAGGAATATATATTCATTTCATAGCACTGGAGTTCAGGAAGGTGCAAAGAAGAAAATGAAAACACTCATAATCCTACCTTTAAAAGGTAACACCAATTATTGTTTTGATATATTTACTTCTAGCATTTTTTCTATGCATATATATTCAAAATAAACTAAAATTATATATACAATTATTTCTTTTTTTTCTACAGTAAATACTCTCATGGTATTAAAATGTACCATTTAAAAAATGGTTGGATAGAGTGGGAGGAGGTAGAAGAGAGTATAAGGAGGATAAATGGTGATGGAAGGAGACTTGACTTGGGGTGGTGAACACACAATAAAATATACAGAGGATGTGTTATAGAAATCTACATCTGACACATATATAATTTTATTAACCAGTGTCACTCCAATAAATTCAATAAAAAATAAAAAAATTTTACATGAGTAAAAAAAAACTGGTTGGACAATATTCCATCATATGAAGGCATCATATTTTATTTACCCAATCCACTATTGTCAACTATGTGGGTTATCTACTCTTTTGTCACCCATTATAAATTATACAATTTGCACACATCACATAAGTCTTTTTAGGATAAATTTCTAGAAGTGAAATTACTGGGTTGAAGGGCCTGCACTTTTTAGAAGTTCTTCACGTACATACTAAATTAGTTTCTGGAAGGTTTGTTTACAAGCTGTACCCCCACCAGCTATATCTGAGGTGTGCCTGCCAATATTGAACACTTTATTTCAGCAAATGAAGTGATGTCTTGCTTATTTTTTTGATATGTAAACCAGACAACATTATTTTTACATTCTTTCTTTACATTGTTATTGAGCTATATTTGATAAATAAAATGGTAAGCTATTTAAAGTGTACATTGCAGTGATTTGATATATGTATACGTTGTGAAAGGATTCCCCCCATCGAGTTACTAGTAAGTGACAAATCCATCACCTCACATATTTACCTATTTTTGTGCCTTGTTTAATTTTGGAGTCAAACTCACATTTTAAAAAAGTCTTAAATTAACTTAAATATTTGAATACATGACTAAAATCAATGTGAATCAATTTTATTTTAAAAAATCAAAAGATAAAAAGAGATATAATGGGGAACTGGTGCCCCCACCTCTTCTGCTCTCCTGTGAAAGCAGCCACAGGTGGCATGTAAATGAGTGGGCGTGGCTGTGCTCCAGTAAAACTTAATGGACATAGACATTTGACTTATATATAATTTTCATGTGTAATGAAATATTGTTCTTTTATTTCCACCCCCGCTCATTTTAAAAAATGTAAAAACGATTCTTAACTTGTGGGTTGAATTTAGCTACATTTTGTTGACCCCTGCTCCTTATACTATAGACATATCTTCCTCATTATGTCTTATGGCTGCACAGGTCTCTGTAGACAAATTATAAGTAATTAAACCCTTATAGATTGACATTTAGATTCTTTCCAGTCTTTTGCAGTTACAAACAATGCCTCAATGACTACCCATTGCCATTTGCCTTGTGTAGATAGTGTAGGTGTGACAAATTTCTAGATGTGGAGGTGTTGGGTCAAAGGGTAGATGGTTTGTAATTTTGGGAGATAATGACAAATCGCCTTGTTAGAGGTTGTACCAGTGTGCTCTACCAGCAATGTGTGAGGTTGGTTGAATCTAGGGGCGCAGAACCCCTGGATATAGAGAGTGACTGTACCATCTTGCTACTTGTTTTATTTTGAGACTCAGTCCTGGGGGGGAGCTGCTTCTCATTTTTGGTGCTCAGGTTCATACAAGTATTGTGTAACTTCTGCTTGCCATAAGGCTAACTGGAAGCTGTGTTTGAGGGGGAGCTAACGAAGCAGCATGATGGATTTTGACAAAGTGGAGGCTGGAGAAAGGGTCAACGGAGAAATACGTGCCAGTTAAAGCCCATTTCCCGTATGAGGCTCTAGGAGTCTTCGTGCTCAGGGGGCAGTGGTACCTAAGCACGGGGGAAGGGGAGCGAGAAACATTGAATGCGATGCTTTGTTTTCAGGAAGCCTTGGAGTGGGCCATGAAGAACCACTTGTGGGGCCACGCTTTGTTCCTGTCCAGCAAGATGGACCCCAGGACTTACAACTGGGTCATGAGTGGGTGAGCGGGGGACTTGCAGTGGAGACCAATGGAGCAGTGTGACGCCTCCCACCACATGCAGGGGACAGTGAGGAGAAATCCAAGAGGCATTGAGAAGCCCCCCACTCCAAACATCTTTCCAGTTTCTGTTTTCTGAGCTGGATGTAGCATTTCTCTTTCCCAGATCCTTCTAATCTGGATGCAGACACAGTCTACCTGCCAAGCTAAATAAAACATTTTAGTAATATTTCCCAGAGTCAGGATTTCCACAGAGTAAATGGGTTTCTATATTGCGGTAGCCTTCTTCCTTGGGGGGGGCTGTTCTAGATAGTTCCATCAGTGAGGGAATACAAATGATCATGTGAGGTTAACGGACAGAGCCTTAGGACTGAGGCTGCTTAGTCTTGCAATGGAGGTATGGGTGCTGAGCAGAAGGTAGGGATACAGGTAGCAGGACCATGAGCTGTGGTAGGAAAGGGGGTGATGGGACTGGGAATTAGATCAGGAAGTCTTCATCTAGGGTGGTGGGAGTTGACAAGACTGAAGGGGTGCGTAAGTTAGAAATCATGCCGGCACACCAAGATCTGGGTGCCAGGTGGACCAGGACAAATGCCCAAACCAGGATGAGATAGGAGTAGAGGTGTGAGTACACAGCCAGCAGTTTGGAATAAAGCAGATGAAACAGCAAAAGAGCATCAGGGTCACTGGAGGTGGTAGGTGTCGGGGTGCTGGGGAAGGTTTCTGAATAGTCCTTGAGGCTCTCGTTGGCCTCCATGGGACAGATCTGTGCCAGGGACCCTCCCAGGAGAAGCAGGCTTGGGTCAGACGGTGAGACGGACGGCAACTCACAATGTTCATCTTCTAGTGTTGGTTCAAGCTGTGAAGCTCGCCTCTTAGTTTCACTTTATTTAAATCGGCCGGGCATCCGGTAGAGCAGAGCGTTAGCTAAGGAGATGGACATTCTAAGTTCAGTCTGTGGCTCAGGCTGTCCCACTCCCGGGAGCCTGTTCTGCACGATGGCCTCCATGGAGTCCCTTTCTGACACCAACCCTCAGGCTTCCCAGGGCCTGGTACCCCCACTGCACCCCGTTCTGTCCAGGGGCTGGCCTGGTGGAAAGCACCAATGCTCCACTGCAACATGTGCTCTGAGCCCCCGAGGCAAGGGCGCTGTTTTAAATAAGTTGTTGCTCTGGGGGTGCTTCTCCGGGTTTTGGAAACCAGTGTCCCATCTCCCCACATAGTAGCGTCCTCTCGGCTGCAGATTTTTGCCTCGGGCCATTAATTTTCCATGGTGCCCGGTGAATTGCGGAAAATCTCTCTTTCTGAGTATGCTTAAATCTCAGCTCAGCTGTGGAGCTTATCACATGGCTGTTAAGCACATCCTTTGGTTTGTCATCATGACCGCTGCTGGTCTCTGTTCTACGCCTCTCTGGTTACTGAAAATGGCTATTCAGTGCTTAGTAAAAGCTACAGACCCAGGCTAGCGGTGGGGTGGGCATGGAGGAGGGCTGCTGCAGTGGGGGGGAGGGGGCTGGGAAGGAGGGACCCCAGGGAAGAGGTGCAGGTTAACTGCTAGGGCTCTCTGGGACCCTTTGAAACATTGGCGGGTCATCTCCATGATGGAGGGAGGCCTACAGAAATGGTTGCCCAAGAGTTAGGGTGTCAGTGCCCATGTGCAGACAATCTCCCCCAACATTGGGACCTGCCTGGGGTGTGTGGTGGAGTGAAGATTCTGTCTCCCACCCCCCTGCCCTCCCCAAAAAGGTGGGCATGACAGCAGAAAAGCAGAGGAACTCTTGTTCCAAAAGAAGCTGCTACACTCAGATAGAAATATATCCGAGGCCTGTGCCTCATGGGCCCTGGGTTGAAGGCTCTCGTGGCTTGGTCACTGCTGATGGTCACCTCTCTCCACAGTTTCACAAGCACACTGGCGCTCAACGACCCGCTGCAGACCCTCTTCCAGCTCATGTCCGGGAGGATCCCACAAGCAGCCACGGTACCCTTTACCACCCCAGCATCCCGAGGGTTTAGGGGGTGGGGCTGCTCTGGAACAGGGGATGGCTTTGAGGACTAAAAATCAAGATAATTGCTTGTTAATCACTTGCCATGTGCTAAGCACTCTGATGGGTATTACGTCATTTAATGCGTAGAGGTAGGGATGACTGTCCTCTAGGCTTCTGTAGGCTACCTTCCTTTTCCTCCATTGCACCTTGATCTTCAAAGCTGGACTCAGAATTTACATGTTGTCTAGAGTTGGATATGGCTCAGGTGACGTCGGAGGCCAGCCGGATGGTTTTTCCCATTTCCAGAGACGAGGTCTTTTTGCTCCAGCTACTCCTTCCTTATCTTTGAAGTCCGGTAATGAGGATACATCTTGGTTGATAGTCTCGGTCAGTTTTTTTTTCCTTGGGATGCAGGACGCTCTTTTACTATGTGAATTCTTAGCTTACAGTTCAGAAAAGTTTTCGTGAATTATATCCTTCAGTGTTTGTTTTGTTCTGTTATTTTGATTTTCTTTTCAGGAACTCCATTTATACACACTTCATATATAGGTGAACTATAGATATGTGAATTGTATACAGGGATGGGCAAAAGTAGGTTTACATTTATGAATATGCAAAACAGTTAATAAAGCTATTGTAATAATCATAGCCTACATGTTTTTTTCTACACGAAACACTGTAAACCTATTTTTGCCCACCCCTGTATATAATTTTCTCTTTAAAAAACTATTATTTGTTTCATTTCTTTTTATTTCTCCTTTAATTTCTACCCTGCACATCCCTGATTGTGTTTTTTATCAGTGTCTTTTAGTTTTTATGTTCTTTTCATTTTGGTCCTCATTTCTTTGGTTTTTCTCCCACTTCCTCCCTGAGCTCTGCAGGTCCCATGTTATCTCCTCCTGTTCCCACCACCTCTTCCCTGAGCGCTCAGAATTGAGCTTTAGGCCCTTGCTTCTCAGAAGTTGTTTCATCCCTTTATTTTACTTAAATTCATGAGAAAATATTTGGTGACAATTCTTTGTTTTATAACATTTTATTTTTTTCTGGTGAATGTGCTTTTGCCCTTCCGTTTATTTTTTGTTACTTCTCGCCCTTTATCTTTGCAGCATGTTTGTGCAGACTCCGTGCTTGTTCCTTTACAGGAGTCGAGTCTTCCCCGGCCCAGTTATTTGTGGGAGGTTTGTGCTGGGAGGGACGAGGGCCCTCTTCCAGGCACCTGGCGCTGCCCGCATCTCCTGGCATTTCCTGTGAATGTCTGTGTGGCCTGCGGGGCTCCTCAGCCAGTGGAGGTGGCTGGGATCCTCTCCCCCTGTGTTCTGCCTGCTTCCCCCTGAATGCACCTCTGTTCACTCGCCATCACTTGGCAGCCTTTGCTTGTATTTTGAGGTTGGCGTTTCTGCCGACACCTAGCTTTGATGAAAATGGACCTCACACTTTTGCTTTTTCTTATTGCTTGTGCACAGCTCCACACAAAGGAAAGGGAAAATATGACTTACGTGCCCCATCATCAAGCCAACTGGTGACACCGGAACACAGAGTCCGCCTCTCAATTCAGCCGAATGCCTGCGCTCTGCAGTGAGATTGCATCATGTCATAAAACGCAGGAAATGATGCAGTCAGTGTATGGCCCCTTGGCTCAGGGCAATGGCAGAGGTAACTACATGTTCCCTACTTTTAGGTGAGAAAACCGAGGAGTCAGAGGTGATGTGGCCGTGCCGTATTTGATCTCAGTGTTGGAGAGTTTCCTGGCCTCACAGCATCCAGCAAAAACTAGACCTTAGTTACTTGTGAGGAGCGGTATAGTGGGGGAAAGGTAAGACCCAAGCACAGGGTAACCTAGCCTCTGCCCCTTCCTGCGGCGTGAACTTGACCCTGTTCCTTAATCTCAGAGCCTCAGCTTCTCATGTTTGTGGGCATTTTGATGCCTAACCAATAGAGTTATTGTGAAAATTAAAGGAGAGAAAATATCTGAACACATCAACCATCATGCTTGATTTATTGAAGTTAGTTAATAAGTATTTGTGCGCTCTCTCTCTCTCTCTCTCTCTCTCTCTCTCTCTCTCTCCATAGAACTATTTTACAGTGACTTTCAAAAATCACTTGTGGAGGAGCCAGAAAAATGACTTCTAAGTTTTTGTTATTTTTAGCAAAGGCTTTTTTTTTTGTTTGTTGGTTGGTTTCTTTAGTTCCAGCAAGAAAGAGCCTGGCTCACATGTGAAGATGGGGATAATAACAGCACCCAAAGCATGGGGTTGCTCCTAGGAGGAATGCTTAGCACAGGGCATGGCTCGTGGTCGGAGTGTAATAAGTGAGAACTGCTATTAGGATTGTGACTCATTATTATCTTCATTCTCATTCACACTGCATTGCCCAGATAAACAGTAACTATAAAATGGAGTCGGCTAAAGCTTCTTTTGTTCCTTGGGATAATTACAAAGACCAAGTAATTGTGAATTGTTTTGACCTCCGCATCTTAGCTATTACTGTCAATCTCCTGCCCCACCCGCTCTATGTAACAGTTGGAAGTTAGGCTGGTCTGCAAAGCACCTCTTTTCTTTGCTGTGTGTGTGTGTGTGTGTGTTTGTTTACACCTACATGTAATTTATAAAGTGAAAACCAAGTGTAAAGCGCTGTGCTGTGTACTTTACCTCACCATCTTATTTTAGTATCAACAGTAACCCTCTTAGGTAGAAATTATGCTCTCCATTAAAGAGAAGAGGAAACAAAGGTTTAATCACATGGAGAAACTTGTTCAAGGTCATACAACTAGTAAGAGGCAGGAGTCCAGTTGAATCCTGGGCCCGTGTTATTTCTTTGACATGATGTTGTTTCTTCATTGATGTTTCCTGCCCTGAAATTCCCCCTCATCCAGGAGAAGGGCGGCCCGGGGCCAGAGGGTAGGAAAAGCACCGTTTGTGTGGGGCTTCATCCTACTTCCACATCTTTGTTTATACTTTACTGCCTCCTGGTGGAGATCTGCTCCTGCATGGTCACCGGAGCGGGAGGGGCACAGCCCTCAACTGGGAATGAATGGGGCTGGGCCGCCTGGCTTGGGTTTTTCATTCTCCAAGTGCAGATGGAAATTAGACTTCATAGGTTGTTGCAAAGATTAAATAAAGTGACGGATGTGAGAGGGCTTTGTAAAACCAGAAAGTATTCGCTCTTTGAAGGCATTAAGGAGCCCAGTGTTCCCCTGACTTCTAACAGGTTAATGTGGACTCTTCTCCTCGTGAGCCCAGGGTGTTTGGTCTTCCTTCTCCCACGGAAGCATCAGGGTTTTATTTTCATGTTGTCCCTAGCTATTGGGGCCTGGGGACACCAGGAAGAAATTTGAAAATTAGTGATTAATAAAGTCGTTTATCTATCTAATCCCCAGGTCTGTCTGTCTGTATGTATATGCATCTGCCTGTCTGCCTATCCATCCTCCTCATGGTTTTGCTTTTTAAAAGGGGAACTTGAAATCAATGAATGGCAGTATTGCAGGCAGTGTGGTGGGTGTGCCCTGAACTCTTCCAAACCAGGACATAGACAACAGCCTCCTTACCCTCCATTCTGGCCAGTGCTACTTTATTGAATAAACCTGCATTTTTTCCCGCTTCTTTTCAGTGTTGTGGGGACAAGCAGTGGGGAGACTGGAGGCCTCACTTGGCTGTGATTCTGTCGAATCAGGGTGGGGACCCGGAGCTGCACCAGCGTGCGATCGTCACCATGGGGGACACCCTGGGTAAGCAGGCGTCGTCGGCACCGTCCTCCTCCTCTCCTCTAGCGTGGCCCCAGGCCCAGCACAACTGTGCTCCAGTTCTTGGGTTCTGTGTAGGGCCCAAGTGTATACCTCAACTTGCCTTTGACCCAGGAGCCTCAGTGTTTTGGGGACAGAAACTTTGGGGAAAGGACCGTCCTTCTGGCTTCTCTGTTTCCCAGAAATTCTGCAGCTGTAGGAGGCTCCTCTCATCAGGGGACCTTCTATCTCTGGTCAGACTCCCCTGAGGATGAGCCAGGACATGGGGCATGTGGCCTCCTGTAGCCGCTAGTCCTGCAGTGACCCAGCTCAACCAGACAGGAAATTCCGTTTGTGCCTGAACCACCTTGGGTAATTGTGGAGTCTTTATTTCTATCCTCTTCCTGTGAATGTGGCCTTATAAACACTTAAGGACTATTGAACATTTCGGATCAGTGGCTCTCAGATTTGGTCAAGGGGCAGGACGTGGAGAAATCATGGTTCTCTCTGTGCAACTCTGTGAAACGTAAAATAGCTTTGTGTAAGGTTGTGCCAACCCAGATGGCAGGTCACTCCACAGCTGGGCACAAAGGGAACCTGACATTTGTTGATTTCTTCTTGCGTGCCAGGTGCCTTGCTGGGTACTTTACCTACTTGAATTAACTCAGTTTTGAGGTAGTAGAACATTTTAAACCTGGGGACAATTTGGTATTAATGTGACTTTTTATGAGCCCCGAGAAAAGGCTGGTATTGTTTGATTTTCGCAGGGACTGCATTAGTGCCCTCAGGAAGCCTGATTTAAAAACTGTCCCTTCCAATGGAACTGTTCCAGCTCAGGTGTAGGCATGTCAACTTGCTTTTCACCCTTAGGAAGGAAGGACAAAAATATTTAGAAGATTCCTAATAAAAAAATCCATTAGGAGGGACGTGAAACAGTGCCTCATTGTGGCTGAAGAAATTATAGTATAATGTCTGAAGCCATAAATGTGGTGGGAGAGGGACTGAGTGGGGTTTGGGGTCTGTGAGGCTTCTCCCTCTGGCCTCTGAGCCACTCTTCACGTCTCCATCCCACCCGTGATGGGTGCCCACGTGGGCGTGTTCATGACTGGGCTTTTCCTCCTCCTGCAGCTGGGAAGGGGCTGGTGGAGGCAGCTCACTTCTGCTACCTCATGGCTCACGTGCCCTTCGGCTACTACACGGTGAAGACGGACCATCTGGCCCTGCTGGGCAGCAGCCACAGGTATGTGATCTTCTGGGGCAAAGGAAACAGGAAGGATGTTTTCTGGGGCATTGCTTTAGCCCTTGGTGGGTTTCATGCCTCCATTTTCTTGTGTGAATTTCAGCTACCACCGGTCCCCTCCTCTGGGGTTGTTTTTTGCACGGGACTGGGCAAGGAGATGCCCAGTGGGTGCCGCCTCACACCACCAGGTGGCCTTTGGTGGGAACGGGTGTCCTTGTGTTGTATTGTGCACCGCTGGCCACGTGGTGGCGCCCTGGGTCCACGACCAGGGACTGTTTCTTATAAAATGTTAATGTGAGCACCTTGCAGCTGTGTTAGGCGGCCCTAGGCAAAACTGGAAAGTGGAAGAAGTTGATGTTTAGCTCCTATACCCCTGACTTGGCGCACAAGCTACTGATTTGGTGCACAAGCTACTCAAAGTTCCACCTTTCACTTGTTCTCTGTTGGCTGTTACATTAGGCTTTTCACATAGGAGGACTTTAATAAGCCCCTAGCCTAGGCAATGAGTAAAAGAACAAAAAGGCCAGTTTGCTCCCTAGCAGTCCTCCACATTCTGGACCTCTTTTCTCCTGCCCTGGTAATAATTAAGGTATCCTGAGCTCTTACCAGGATATTTATTTGTGCCAGTCAATTTATTTGCATTATTGCCTTCCATCATTACAAATGTGCCTTCTAGCAGCGGTTCTCAACCTGTGGGTCGCGACCCCTTTGGCGGTCGAACGACCCTTTCACAGGGGTCGCCTAAGACCATCCTGCGTATCAGATATGTACATTACGATTCATAACAGTAACAACATAACAGTTATGAAGTAGCAACGAAAATAATTCTATGGTTGGGTCACAACATGAGGAACTGTATTTAAAGGGCCAGAAGGTTGAGAACCACTGTTTTTTATCTTCACTCTATAGAGGAGGGAAACCAAGGCACAGAGGGGTTAAGCAACTTGTCTAAGACAGCACAGCTGGTGTGGGGTCAAGTTGGACTTGGAATCCAGACTGTGCTGCGCCAAACTGCCTACAACTGTAGAAACACCCGTCTTGTTGCCTGCTCTCTCAAGGCCCTGGTCTCCGATAGCACATGGTTGGCTTGTCAGAGAAGCCCATCTGTGCCAAACGTGACAGTATGAGTGTGCGGGCTCATCTGTCTCCCTGCTATATTTGTATTATACCAGGAAATGCCGGAGATAGAGTCGTAAACCCAGGGATGGCCCTGGAGACTGGTGAGCTGTTGAGGGAAAGATTTGTGGCACTAGGGCAGCCGTGGGCAAGCTACGGCCCCCGGGCCGGATCCGGCCGGTTTGAAATGAATAAAACTAAAAAAAAAAAAAAACCACGACCCTTT